AAATCAGCAACTGATATTTAAGGACAAAAGAAAATAACCACTTCTCCACCATTTCCACAGTCACATAATATCTCTAAAATACTCTCCCACTCCTGTTTAAAACACTTTAACTGTAAACTCTAACACTTTCTTGACCATTCATACATTTTTTGAAAGGCAATATAGAATGGTTATCTGAGAATTTGTGCTTTATAATCAGATAGTTCTAGGTTCAAATCCCTAATAACAGTGGTCATACTTAAAAGCAGCAGGCCTCCGGGACGTTACCTCCTCCCTCAATATGTCCCCAGGTAACAACAATAACAACAAAAACCAGTTGTTGATTCAGACTCGTGATGACCCCATGTGTTTCAGAGTAGAACTGTGCTTTACAGGGTTTTCAGTCCTGTGATCTTTGGATACAAATCACCATGCCTTTCTTCCGACGTGCCTTTGGGTTGACTCAAACCAACCTTTAGTAGCTGTGCACTTAACCATTTGTGCCATCCAGGAACTCCATGTCCCCAGGTAGAACATCAGTAATTCTTATTTCTTCTTTTCCACTGAGCCCAGATATAGCCTCAGAGTCCTTCTGAACATAGCATTCTAGATCAAGTAGGAACAACATTCAAGATGAAATCACTTTCCATCCCTACTCTAAAAACTCCTGTTTTATGCCAGGAAGTCTAGCAACAAAATTATTTATTTCATAATACAAAGCTTTGAGATATATGTGTATATTATATATATATACGTATATATACACACACACATATACACGTACAATATATATATAGGTACATACATACATGTAAATGCACATACATACAACCCTAAAAGTTAAGAAAAATAATAGATGATATTGAATGATTACTGCTATGCAACTCAGAAAAAAAAATCTGAGTTTTGTTAACACACATGGCAGAGATAAAACAAACCAGGAACGAGATTAAATTTAAGATAGGATTTCCAAGAAGAGGTGGAGATGGAGGGAAATTCAGAAAAGAAGAGACAATTTTCTAGAGTCATTATTGGCACAGAACATAATTTGGAGTTTTATGAAAGCCCATAAAAGAACAGCTCTATCATGGGAATAACTATCTTGTCTGCTTTCATTCTCCACACTGACCTTTAACTTCTGAACTTTGGAGTTATTTACAATCACAGCTCTGTAAAGCTGTGTTAAATAAATTACTGTTTTTATTTCCTAAATAACTTTTTTCCTAATTCATCTAATATTTCAAGTGTTATAAAAAATATAATAGGATGTGCCTAAAAATATTATGCTTCTCAAACATGATTCATTATGTAATGTCTTTAAAAAATTGTATAAAAGTATCTGTGTTTATTCAAAGGGAATTTTAGATGTTTTTATGACAGAAATAATTCCTAAATAATTATTATCAACAACATAAGATTTCAATTAACTTATCAAATTCAGAAAGAGTCCATCAGTTTCTATGCTAAATAAGTACCCTGTAGATGTATGTTTTGTTTGTTTGCTTGTTTGTTTTAGATGTATGTTTCAGGAAAGTAACCCTGAAGGCAATGTGAAAGATTGATGTGGGTGGTGGTAAGAGGCTAGAAACAGGAAAACTGTTATGGGGCCATGGCAAACAATGAGGTGGGAAATGACTAAGATGAACTAAGTCTGTAGGAATAGAGAAGAATTGACAAATACAACACTGACAGGATCATGATGCTACAACATATTAAAAGTGAAGGATGAAGTTTGGAATGCAGGTAAAAATGGACCTTGCCCATCACACCCCAGTAATTAGAAGGACACTGACTCTTCGGGTAGCTAGGAAAATATGAAAATTACAGTCACTCCCAGGATTGAAGAATGGCTTGGAAATTTTTCAGAAGAAACATCAAGAAAGATGCTGCAAAAATCTGTCAGTAAGTAAAAAGTAATAATGATAGTGATGTTGGGTGATTTCTTGAACATTTCTGACTTCTCATATTTCATGATTACTGATTTTCAAGCATACCATTAACTAGGTTCCAAAGAGGCAGTGAGCTCCAAGGCTTTGGAATCCACTTTCCAGTTCAATGTGGAATTCCGAGGGCTAAAAATTAGATCACATTAATGATACATTTATTGACAAAGTGGCAGTCTCATGATGTACAAAATAAGCTATTTAGTATCCTCTCCTCAAGAGTTGTTTAACAACATAACTCCTGCCAGAAAAGACTTTTGAAACTTTGAGAGGATGCTTACTGGTTCTTCGATCCTTTGTGTACAGAAGTCTTAGAAAATTCAATTACATTTCTTGCCAATCCACAACTAACATGCAGAGAACAAACACTTCTTAAGTGTTCATTTTTAATTCCTCTCAACAGTAGTTAGGTTAAAAGTCATAATAACAGCAACAGTGAAATAATTCTCTTAAGTCTGGCGTGCTAAAAGCTACGTAATGTTGGAAAGGGAAGTACAGAGTGAGATAATCAGTGGAACCTGAAACACTAAGCAGACCTTGCTGCCAGTATAATTTGAATTCCTTTTTTTTAAAGTTTTCACCATGTAGAATGCACTTTTTGTCTTTTTTAAAAATAATTTATTTTATTATTGTTGTTGAGAATATACAATCAGAACATACATCAATTCAACAATTTCTACATGTACAATTCAACAACTCAGTGACATTGATTATATTCTTTGAGTTGTGCAACCATTCTCACCCTCTCTTTCTGAATTGTTCCTCCCCCATTAACATAACCTCACTCCCTCTAAATTTCCTCTTATCTTTTGAGTTACTGTTGTCAGTTTGATCTCATATAGGTAGTCCTTAAAAGACTACAATGCTCAAGGCAGACATTCTTTACTAGTTAAGCTAAATTATTGTCTGGTTTTAAGAAGACTTCAGGGGATATTTTTGGTTTACAGTTTAAGGATTAGCTCAGGGCAATAGTTTCAGGGGTGTATCAGCCTCCACGGCTCCAGAAAGTATGGATTCCACGTGAATTTGATATTCTGTTCTGTATCTTATCCCTTTTGATCAGAATTCTTCTAGAGAAACTTTGACCAAAATGTTCAGTAATGGTAGCCAGGCATCATCCAGTTCTTCTGATCTCAGGGCTAAGGGAACAGTTGTCCATGGTGGCAATTAGCCACAAATTCCATTTCCTCCTCCTATTCCTGACTCTCCTTCTTCTTCTGTTGCTCCAGACAAATAGAAATCAATTGTTGTACCTTGGCATCTTTCCATAACTGTGATTAGCAGGTACTTACTGAGTTCCTGACACCATGCCAGGCAATTTATCTTTATCATTTCATTTAATCTTTACAATCAATCTTATAGATTAGTATTACTGGGGCAATTTTACACATGAGAAAATGCGATCCAGAGGGATTAAATAACTGTCCCAAGTCCACAGGCTAGTACAGACCACAATCATCTCTCTATCTGATCTCCAGACAAATTACTACTGATAATAAACAACAGATACATCACATACAAAATACATAATTTGCAAAATGTTATTAAAATGAACAAATACAAGATTTTGAGGCAGCTCCCGAGATAAAAAGCAATACTCAGAAATAACTGTCAAATGGAAAAATAAATGCCATAATGACTTAGGAATAGAGTTCAATCCTAGTAGAACAATGTTGCTATTTTAAAATCTAAACAATGCAATTTATTTGCATGAGCATGAGGGACAAAATCACAAAGCTGGCTAGAAAAGGCAGACTTGCTATTAATTTAAACGAGTATTTCAAGAAATGTTCGTATCCATTGACCAACATTCCACTGTTTAATTAGCACCTATATTCAGAATAAATTGGATTTTCTAACAATGTGTAAGGAATAATGCCTGAAATCAAGTAAGAGAAGTCAGAAGATGTATTTTTAACACCTCGAAAAGAGTATCGCAGACTTAGAAAAATAAATAAAAGAGATTTTAATGTTACAATTTTTTAAAATTGTTTTATATAATCAATAGGGATATCATATAATTTATTTTTACAGAACATTTAATGCTTAAATATCTATGGCTATATGGTAAAAGAAAGAGTACCAGAGAGGAATATAGGAAATTACTATGCTAAGCTTTGGATGCATGGGTGCCCCGAATTATTTAAACAAGGAGGTGGAGTACATCATCTCTATAGGTCATTTAAGAAGGAACTATTCCTAAATACACAGATTTAAAAAAAAAGAAAAAAATAGCAGCATTACCATGGATCTTTCTTTTGTCTTCTTCCTTAAAGAACTGCTTTCAGAAAATTAACATATTTATAAATGATCATTTTAAAAAGTCTCTCTGCCATTACTCAAATCAGAAAATTTTAAAGGATGAAAACAACCAATAATGCAGAATTTATACTTCGCAGCTGTCCTTGTTTACTCCCAGTTAGATAAAAATTGAGTGTACTTATTAAAATAACACATAGGTCAAGTAGTTCAACAACTCCTCTCCCCACCCCCTCAAAAAAAAACAAAAAAACAAAAAAGAACACACACTTAGGAAAGCATATTTAACAAAGGTTGCCCACCCAATACCTAGAAAAACAAGGAAGATGAACAGCATAGTCACCAAAAAGCTAATGAAATTTGTGCTTATTTCTATAAACTCTGAGCTCAAATCTGGAGTTCAAATGACAATTTATTTTCCCCTTATAACCATAAGATGGGAAGCACAAACTTAAGATCTCATTCTGCCTTTCAGACTGAAAATCGGTGATAGGGGTAAGACAGGTGCCTTCAGTAACTGGAGCAGGTTGGTGATAGCAAAGGAAAAGAAAGAGGAAGAAATAGTTATGCTAAAATTCAAACTTCTATCATCTAAAAAACCACAATCAGGTAGTCATAATTATTAACAGAGTACAAGTGGTTTCTATAATCAGGTTGCACCACCCATCTGTCAGTCTGTAGTACTGTGATGGCTTGTATGTTACTGTGATGCTGGAAGCTATGTTACCAGTATTTCAAATACCATCAGGGTCACCCATGGTGGGAGGGTTTCAGCACAGCTTCCAGACTAAGAGAGACTAGAAAGAAAGAGCTGGCTATCTACTTGTGAAAACTAGCCAATGAAAACATTGTCTAACTCACTTTCTTTGGGCACATTATCAGGAGAGATCAACCACTGTAGGAGGACATTACGTTTGATGAAGAAGAGGGTCGGTGCAGGAGAGCCTTGGTAAAACATATTGGCACAATAGCCACAAGGATGGAATTGAAATCTCAGTAATTGTGAGGACAACACAGGACTAGGCAGTGTTTCAATCGGATGTGCAAGGGGTCACTATGAGTCAAAGTTGTCTCGGTGGCAGCTAAAAATGACAGGTTTTTTACATTGGCTTTATCTAGAAGATTACCTACAGGGAAAACAGAGCTGAAAACACAAAACAGACAAAATGGCTTCTTACGATATCTTAAGATACTTCATTAGTCATTATTTAGTCTTAAAATAATTTAAAAGTACACTGAAAATTAAAGAAAGAATTGTAATTCAAAGTATTACTCATAATCATCCATCGTATAACATCACAGTTACCTAAACACAACCTCAGTGCCCCTTATTAGATCGTTCACCAGTCGGAAGCCTTTTCACCTCATTCACCACTTCTTCATTTTAAATAAATGAAAGGCAAGAGAACTGCTGCTTCCCATTCAGGAAGAACTCTTCGCTATTATAGCTGCTTTTCAGTTTATATGCTTTCTAAAATTTAATTTAAACAAATTTTTAAAACATATTTGCCCATAAAAGAAAAATTAGTTGTATTCACAGATCATAAATGTCAGTGCAAAGTGTTGTGCTTCACAGAAGCATCCTGTTCCTTTGCTTGACTTCCAAGAGTCTGGCTGTCAGGAATTGGAATGGGAACAGTTTCCATGTTGCATAACACAGTTCAGTGTACTGGACAAAGGGTGGGGATTCAGGACTCCCAGTGACTATTTGGATAGGTCTCTAGGGAACATGCTTTTTAAGAGTCAAAGAGAGAAAAAAAATGGGCCAGAGGGTCAGGTTTTAACCTGCTGACTTAGTTCCTAAGCTCTTCGCACTCCACAACAGCCTCTGCAGCACATCCATTTAAACATGGTTGCTTATTGAGCCAAAATTTCCAAAAGGGAGATCCAAGATGAGTAATAGTTTTGACACAAATCTGTATCATTTATAATACTTTCTTCTTCTAGAACATTCCTGTAGATAAAGTCTCTCAAGTTCTAAGAAGTAGGAACCATTTGTCATGTCTGCTTTCCCCATTTTAACCACCTCCAGGAGCTGCAACATTTTTTAATTTTCTGTTATTCAGGACATGCTGCCATTTTAAAACTTTAAAAGATAAGTACTTAAGATCTTTACTACTATAGAACAAATAAGTTTGCTTAGCTTAGGAAGTTGAGTCAGAGTTGTATAATGTCATAACTTAATAAGAACTAACATAAGGTCTACTATGCTCTTGGAATGTGTAAACTGTAGAAATGCAAAATGACATACTAGTGAAGAGAAGAGACTGTTACAGCAACCTCCAATTTCATCCACTTCTATACTCAGAGAGGAAGTTCTGATGAGCTAAGAAAAACATGCAGAGTTTTTATAAGCAATATGGTAACTTCAATTTTTTTTTAAAAAAAAGATAAACAATAAATACGTTATCACAAATCTAAAAGAACAGAAGTAAACAGTTATGTGCAACAAGCTTCTGTGCATCATGGCAAAGCTTCTAATTTCACTCTCAGGATTCTTTTATACTCCTATATATCATTAACCGCTTCTTAATTCATAATGCTGGGATTTTCTCAGTGGTATAGATAGAGTGAAATATTGAATCAGTTTATAACATGGTGAGAACGTTTCTCCTAAAATATTGTTTCCCTCCTATAAGGTTTGGTGCTAACTAATTGGATACATCTGGAAAGCTTCAGATAAAGCATTTCAAAGATGACCATTTATCCACAGACGACAAACTAATATCTCCCATATGTCTCATTTCATTCAATTCCAGGTCACCCATGTATAGTTCTGCAGAGTCAGTCTTTACAGAGAAAGAACATTTGTATGACACACTGGCTTGGTCATAGAAATTAGCATGAGTTTAGGGCCTACAGAAAACAATTAGGCTTTGAAGTAATGATGATTTGGCCCGTAGTAAAACATCCTACGTAATAACCATTCAGAATAAAATCTACATATAGATAGTACATTTCATGGCCCGGCAGAGTGATAAGTGGTCACCACTCTCAAATGCAGAAGGGAGCCATGAAGTTTGGGTGCACCCCTGAAACTACTGCCCTGAGATAATCCTTAAACCTCAAACCAAAATTATCCCCTGAAGTCTTCTTAAAACCAAACAATAGTTTAGCTTAACTAGTAAAAAAATGGCTGCCTTGAGCATTAGGCTCTTTTAAGAACTATCTATATGGGATCAAATGGACAATAGCAACTCCAAAGATTAGATAGAAACCTTAGGGGGCAGTGAATTTATGTTAATGGGGGAGGAATAACTCAGAAAAGAGAATGAGAATGGTTGCACACATCGAAGAATATAATCAAGTCACTAAATGGTACATGTAGAAACTGTTGAATTGGTATACTTTTTGCTGGGTATATTCTCAACAAGAAGCAAATAAATAAAATTATATGAAAATGCAGAAGCAAAAATTACAGTGAAAATTAGCTGACTAATGGAAAAAATGATGATGTACTCAGTATCATAGCTATCAATTTAAAAAGCATGACCCGGAAAAATTATTAAGGTACTTGTTTACCAATTGGCAGTGGGCTTTGTTAGGTGAATATATTGCTTTCTAAGTACATTGTACCCCGAGCCCTAGTAGCACACTGGTTAAGGGCTCAGCTGCTAATGGAAAAGTCGACAGTTTGAACCCATCAGCGTTCTGTAGGAGAAAGATGTGGCAGACTGCTTCCATAAAGATTACAGCTTTGGGAACCTTATGAGGCAGTTCTACTTTATCTTATAGGATTGCTGTGAGTCATAATTGACTTGATGGCAATGGGTTTGGGTTTTTATTTTTGGTATATTAAATTTTGGATCTACTTCAATATTACTTAAAATAATACGGGCCTACTTTAGTGAATTATTATGCAATTGTGTTTGTCTATGTTTAATATAATGCCGATAAGGCCAATAAAATTTCTCATCATTTCAACATAATTAATGATGCCACAGTAGTTAAGAGATCAGTTGCTAACAAAAAGGTTGGCAGCTCAAATCCACCAGCCGCTCCTTGGGAATCCTATGGGTAGTTGCACTCTGTCCTACAGAGTCGCTGTAAGTTGGAATCGACTCAACGGCAACAGGTTTGCTTTGTTTTTAATATAAGTCAAGCTTTTAGGAAAAAGTCACTCCAAGAACAGAGCCATCAAGTGGTAAGAGCAAAAGGATGATTATGTCATCAAATTAACAGTACACATAACAATAACATAAGTAAATATCATCATTAACAACCTAATCGAGGCAGAAACAAATTTAAAATGGTTCTTCTTTTCAGAATAAAGAAATCAAAACAGCATATCAAGAAAAAAAACTAAGCAAGCAATAACAAACATGTATATATTCTTTATACAGCATGGCCCCCATTTCTCAAAATCAAAAAAGACTAAAACAACAGCACACAGGTGCACATGCATACACCACGCACACAGACACACTCACGAGATGGCAGCAACCATGACAAGGTATTAACGGGCCTGGGGGGTGGAATGAAGAGTGGCGTTTTGTCCCCTTCTTGATGCCTTTCTGCTTTTTCTTCAGAGAATGCATATTACTTTCATAATTAGAAAATACACTATTTCAAAATGCTCTGGGAGAGTATGAAAACAAATAGGAAACATAAAAACGAGAGTAAAGCCAGTAAGCTTTCAGGATAAAGGATGCCTCTAATTTCCTAGTTGTAGATCTGTATAGATCTAGAGGTCGATTGCTTTGATATAAATGCAAATCATACCTCTTAAGACGTTTATCTTAGGTAGGCCTAAATGATTTCTCATCTAGGAAGAAACACTAATATCTTAGCTATTAGGTTTAGCGCATTAAGATAAGATTTGGTTGAGCAACAAATAACATGTAGAACATTTTATGTGAAGTTTTAAAAAATACATACAAATTATTTTTATTTCTCAACATGCTTAATGTAACAAATAGCACACTGAGGTAAGAAAGGAAAAGATAATTATTCCCATTTTAAAGAAGAGAAATGGAGATTTAGAGAGATCATGTATCTATTTCCAGCTCTGCCAGTGATAAGCTGAAAGTTTTTTGGCAACTAGTCTATTGATTCTTGCACTGTAACAATTTAAATTACCTGTAAACTATTTTAATATTTATTCTTACAAGGTCTCCTCGTAGTGGTAACAGCAACTATTCTTATTTCTGTTTTTAGATGGACATAGGCAATACACTGTAGTTGAGAAAATTCACCTTGGGCATAATCAGAGTATAGATCTCATTCTCCTAAAGTGTGTTGATATTTTACAGGAGCTTTTTAATTAAAGGCATAGTAGCATCAAATTGAGACTTGCTCCCCTTACTTTAAGCAGAACTGAAAAGCAAAGAACTTGTTATTAAACATTTATATTGTCTGTAAACATCTGTGGTTGCATTTAAAATGATTTTTTAAACCACCACTGATCGGGACTCTACATTTCAAGAAACACTGTAGTATTTATACCAGGCATCCACTGAAAACCCATTGCCATCGAGTGGATTCTGACTCATAGCAACCGTATAGTAAAAAAGTAATGTTTTATTCAGAATGATGGTAGTTAAGCTAATCAGAGTCGCATTTCTCTACGGTCTGAATGACTGAGGGAGGGTAGTGTTTGACTGTGTGAATGGAAACCGTGAGCCAAGAAAGAATGGAAACTGCAGAACAGCTCTGAGATCACCAAGTCTCATCTCCTTACATAAACACTCACTGATAAACAATGCAATCTGTAAAATCATCTGGCTGAAACCTTTTTAAAATAGCATATGTTTTCAAGAGATGTTGCTAATAATCCCAAGAAGACTATTTACATTTTTTTCATATTAATAAAATGATACTGTCTTTGTTTTAACTAATCAATTACGTGAATTCTACAATAACATTAGCAAAAAGGACATCAATTTTCATATTATTCCAAATGCTTAAAGATCTAATATACCATAATTTGTATTGTTTATATATTGCATTCGTATAGACTATGTAAGAGGTGCTACATAGGAGTACACAGAGCTTGCTTGCTATCACCCCATTTCTCCAACCATTCACTTTCTAACAATATTAAGCTTTAATAAATTACAGTTTATGCTCTAAGCAATTAATTGCCATTATTGTGGATTATTTACTTGCAGGGAAGTTATTAAAACAAGCAGCGTGGAATAAGGACATTATTAAAAGAAATTAAAGAACAAATACATATGCAGATTGCCTACTGGCTCTCAACTCCATTCCCATCTTCTGTTTCACAGGAGGCTGGAAGACTCTAAACTCTATTTACTTAATCCTTGGCTACCTGACTTTCTGTCCGATTCTGCCAAGACACTGGTTAGAAATTCAAAGGCGGAAGGAAGAGAAAGTTTTATTTTTCTGCTTCTGGCAGAGGCAACGGCAGCAGAGGGTTACTGAGAACCATTGCAGGTGACTGGCATCCAGCCATGTAGTTTTAAAAGTATTAGCCTTGTTGGCTCATGGGGGACTGTTTGGCAGCAGTGCTTTGTTCCAAAAGCAGCAGCAGAAGCAGTAGCCCTGAACACCCCACCACCCAACAACTCAGCGTGAGTGCAGTTTTGTGGCCTCCAGCCCTGGGTGATAGCAACTAGTCCTTCTGAGACCTTTGCAATGCCTAGGTCCTTTGTGATGCAGATTTTCTGACATGTCAGCCACATCATTGATGCAAATTTCTACAAAGTCAATTTTGATCTTTATTGGTAAAATGTAATTTTTCTTTTTCTTTTTTTCAGAATTTTTTTTTCTAAATTTGACTCATCTCTTCTTTCATCTTAGTCTATCCTATTCATATTAGATTTCTGTTCCTATTTTATAGATAAGGACATCTACTTTTACACCAGAATCAGAATACCACATTTTTTTTTCACCCAGAAATATTGTTCTATCTTCTATGACAAATTATTATCCGAATACCTTCTTCTTTGAAGTCATTAGGATAATGTGTCCTTTCACTTCTAGTACTTTTAGCACAAATACTTCAAAAAGAATTTTTTTTTTTTTTACTTTGCATATTCATTTACAAATAGGGAATGATCTATACAGGTCAAATTGGTTGCCTATCAAAAATACAGGTAAGTAGGCTAGTCTTCCCAAAACCATATTTTCAGTCCAATTCATAATAATCAGTTCATCATCATGTATCTACATAGATAGAAAATGAGTTGAAATTTATAATTCATATTTCCTATGACTATAGCATTTTTATGTGTATATATCTGGTGGCATAAAAGTATTTTTTTTCTATTTCCATTGCCTCGTTCTATAAAAACCTAAAGAGACAGAATAAATGTAAATCTATAATCTCTACATACATCCTGAGAACAGACCTATTGATACCTAGTTTATGTTTGAGAACTCTAGCCCTTGACTTGATACTTTAAATCAGGAAGTAAATAATAGAGTGGTGCAGTGGTTAAGAGTTATGGCTACTAACTAAAAGATCAGCAGTTAAAATGCACCAGTCTCCTAGAAACCTGTGAGGCAGTTCTACTCTGTCCCATAGGGTCCCTAGGAGTCAGAATTGACTTGACGGCAATGGGTTTGGTTTTTGTTTTGGGATAGGAGATAACATCTTTATTGCCTCAAAAAACTGTATCCATGCAAAAGATGGATCTCAGCCTAATTCCTTTGCTTTTTATTGTAACAGCTTTATGTTTCTGAATCTTTGGAAAGACAGCTTGACTTCCTACTTACTTCTAGACAAGTATAGCAAAGTTGGGGGACTGGTTATGTTGTTTCATTCCAGTTCTATCTACCTTGCAGTTAGTAAAATTTCTTCTCAGGTTCAGGCAATAGGTTGACTATCATAGTTTTCTGCATGTATCTTTTCCTGTATTTCTAAGGGCACGTTAGTAGGAAGGTGGGTAAGAGCTACTCACCTGATGCCATTTTTAAACTATAACCCAGTTCACTCACAAACCTATAAAAAATAGTCTCCTAACATTATATATTCATCCCAATATAGGTTTTTGGAAGCTCATATTCACACAAATTGATGACATTCAGGATAAACAAAAGGACTATTACTGAAAAAATTGGAAACAGTGGCAAAAAAGTGTAAATCATGGATTGAAAAGCAATGAAATGGCAGTGATGAAATGTGGAAACACATATGAGGCAATCAGTAGAGGGGCTGTAGAGAAACATATTAACAAACTTGAGGAGGAGCTACCAGACGCTCCCCGTTGTACTTTTTGTGATAGCACAGCTTTTAAATAATACCTCCATGTGAAAATGAATATGTACGGAAAGATGAAAATTCACCACCATATTGAACAACCGTGCATTTCTGAAATCCAGAAGAAAAAATATCTGGAAATATGTTTGAAGAAAAAAGATGTCAAAGATCACATCTGCTAGTCAGGAACATTAATATCTAATGGAATCATCTGAATAATCATAATATCTGACTATATAAAGAACATTATGAAAACTTGCAGAGAAGATAGACTCAGGATGCAGAAATTTTATAGAAATGAAAAAAGCCATTCTAAATGGTAATTTATTTGACATGTTTATTAATTTAACCAGGGCATAATTTAGAAGTTCTTTTTAAAAATATTACATCATTGCTATAAACCAACTATGACAAATTTAATTATATTGTAAATTATTTTTCTAACTGATATAATAACTCAGATAAGAAAATGTTCTAACTTCTACCCTGTCAAAAGTAGATTAACACTTATAATACCTTTGAATACAGACTTATACCATTTTCTACCGGTTAGGTTGAGAGTTTAGGAAACTTGTATTCTATTCTGGATCTAGTACTCAGATATTATATAAGACAACATTGTATAATAATTTACATATAAAACATATTTATATAGAATTTTAATATCCCACATATGGATAAAATAAAACACACATGAATTAAGGCATATATACATGCATGTGTGTTTAGTGTGTGTGGGTTGTATGCACGTATGGACACACACAAAGACACATATATACATACATACCATATTTTTATGCAAATATCGCTCACCTTGTATGTTTGTTTGCCAACCGAGCTCTCCCCATGTGAGGTATTTTTGTAAGTGTGCCATAGCATGGGGGAGGGCTCGGGTGGCAAACAAATGCAGAAGATATGAGTTTACAGTACACCTTAATTTACATATGCCTTATTTTATTCATAAGTGAAATACTATAATACTATTAGGCGTCCTATATAAATACAAGGCACATACAAATCTACGGTCTAAGTATAAAATGATTATTATTAAAAACAAAATTAAATAAATAAATAAATACGTTTTTAGAACAATATATTTCTCAGCTTACATTAGAAATATATTGTTATAGAATCATTTTTCTATGTTGCTCTTAATATTAGGAGAGACAGTCCTTCTCCACTTAATCTCATTTCTCAAAATGTGCTTGAAATGTTATCTCTATATATGAGAATTTCCAGTTTTTTTCTTTTTTAAAATAGATGCATTTCTGGAAATGAAGTCACTGATTAGCCTTTTATAAAAGGGGATTAAAAGGATGCCCTGGGAAGTAGGTTTTGGCATAACTCAGACCAAGGGAGGACAAAACAGAAATAAAGGCTAGTTGACAAAAGCATCTCTGTGTTTTGTCTGAGAGATAGCACTTATTGTCAGGCTATGGTCCTCAGCCCAGAGACCATGAGGTCTTTCTAATGGAACACAGTACTTACCCCAAAACATAAGCCCTTTGTTTGATTCTTGTGGGTAAGTCCATGGAATTTAATGCTTTTTACCTGTGACTAAGTGCTCCTCAGAAAAGAACCAAAAAGCAGGAAAGGATTATTAAAATGTTATATCCATAAACTGAAATAACCAAATCACTATAATCTACTGAGTCTAATTTAGCATTTTACTAAGCTTACTATCATGCAATGCTTCGCAACTCTGCCCATAGACGCGCATATACCTAATTGGATTTCCAGAAATTTTGTTTGGTAAAAATTCTGTATTATCACTATATCAAAAGTATTGTACTGAGTTGGTCATGTTTTTTAACTGCTCCAACTCTAGCCTGTTATTTGTAAATTAATAGTTTAGCTCCATAACTATCAATTTAAGCCATGTGGGGTTTGGTCAACCCTACAAATCAGAAAGATGCATATATCTATCAACATTTTGGGGTTATACCTTCCTAAGAAGTAGACTTTAAGGTATAGACATTACGGTTCAAATGTGAAATATTCATATTTGTTTTATTAAACCCTCCCCAGATTTGCTTATACAATGTCTTTTCTTTGGTGACAGAATATATAACATAAGCAAACAAACTTCCAGAGAAGATACTACCAAGTACAATGTTTAAAAATTCAATTTGCTTCTGTATTTTAGTAAGGTTAGATTATATTACTTACTCCTGTCAGTCTGCAAGCTTACATGGATGAAACATGGTAAACCCCTCCAATTCCCTCTGTTTTAATATGGCAGACTCTCTTGACCTGTAGGAGTAGCACTGCCACAGGAGAAAATCACTTCACGTGAAAACCTACAACGGTTTTTCAGGATGTCCTGGATATAATCATTAAGATAGGCAGTTAATTTTAATATTTTAATATTTTACTTCATGCGTTTTTTATGAAGAAAAAAATTTTGTGTTCAAGAGACAATTTCTTTATCCTTAAAAACATTACATTAACAGAAATGTTCTAGATGATCTATGATGCTCGGGTTTAGGAAAGCTTTAGATATATCAGAGAGTAATAATTTCCAAAATTTGCTCAGGCAGATTCAAGAGGAGGTATCTGAATGGATTATTCTACCTTATATCTGCTAGACCTTTTCCCAACACTCTCAACCACATTTTTAAACACTCACCTGCCTCTCACACTACCAAAGAGAGAAATAAGAAAGCAGCAATTAATAACATGTGTTTATCTATATGTTTACAATTAGGAAGCTTACCAATTTTAGCATAAATATGCAGAGATGACAAGGACTTACAGAAAAGCAGCTTACTATTTCTTAGCAAATGTTGCATATTACAACTAACAAGAAAGGTTACTCATATATTATTTCATCTTTATTTATTTGGTAATATCTGTTGCTTGCCTACTATATGCCAGGAATCCTGTTACAAGCACTGTTCTTACCAATGGATAAAAGAAAATCTTCTTGTTAAGCTTACTTTCTAGCAGGAGGAAACATACAATAAGGAAATAAAACACATGGCATGTTATGATATGGACAATGCCAAAACAAAAATACAATCAGGTGAAGACAAAGAAAGAGATGAGGTAAGCATGTATGACCTACTTCAAATAAGCTAATATGGGATAGCGAAAATATAGATCAGGAAAATTTGAGTAGAGTCTACAAAAAAAAGATAAAACATGTGACTACTGAAAGTATATTCCAGGCACTGCAAATGAAAATTGTCAAAAGTTAGTGATTGAATAACTCAGTGAGGGAGAATGAGATATCAAAGATGACTTAAATTTTAATGCTGGGATAGGAATGGGAATAAAGTATATATTAAAACAATTGATTCATAATGATAAAAGTATCTTTGGTTTCAAATATACTCATCAGGCACTTATTTATTTATTTCTATGTTCCGTACACTAAATCAGGCACAAGAATAAGACTAAGGAACATAAAGGAGACCATTCTTGCCCTTGTACAACTTAGTATATGTGAGCAATTACATCCCAGCATGAGAACTATGCTGATAAGCTCAGAGGAGCGCCATGATTTGGGAGCACTAATATTTAACTTGGATTTGGGAATGGGAGGAACATTATTCAGGAAAGTCTTCCAAGAGGAAGTAACATCTAAGCTGAGACTTAAAGAAACATATTAACCAAGTGTAGGAGAAAAGATTGTTCAGACGCCGAGATAAGACAGACTGAGCAGGTAAAGAGCCAGTGAGTGAATCAGATCTCAGCACTGTAACAAAAAGAAATTTGTTAGGGTGAGTGTAGCACTAAAGCTGAAAGAAAGACAGTAAAACACAAAGTTAGAGTTAACAATTGCCTGTTATATTCAACTACTAATATATTATTGACTTATATTTTCTTTATAAACTGTTATGCCAATTGAGTTAGATGTTCCCCGAGACTATGGGCTGAGGGCTGTGGGGACCATGTAACAAATACAGCTATTTCCAAAAAAAAAAAGCCCATCACTGTAGTCTCAGGCATGAGGAAGTGCTCCTAGACACCAGGGTGCCGTGGGATCAATTAATTAATTAACTTTCAAAAGGGTTAGTCACTGGTCCTACCTCACCCTCAAAATTTAAAACTGTAGGTGAGTGAAAGAGCCCTGAAGAGTGTCTGGGAGAGTTGTTAGTGTACTGAAGTCTGAAAGGTTTCTGGATTGGAAGTTTGAACCACTTTCTAAAATAACAGATATTTTATATTTACTTTCCTCTACAGTCTTTTCCAACTGCTCAAGACATCCAAATACTAGAATTTTTGCTAACATATTGGAAGGGATTAAAAGGTAAATACTAGGGTGAGACAGTACACAATACAGGGGAAACTAACACAACCTGTACAAGGAAAGGTCATGGAGGCCCCATGGACAGATCCAAACTCCCCGAGGG